AAATAAGAAAAAATGTATATATTAATGATTCACATATGCGTTCATATATAGGTGATGCGCGCTGCGGTTTCCCACAAACGAGGATAGATTAGAGGATGATTAAAAGGTGTTCTGGATTGCGTTCCAGCAGCGCAAAAGCTGCCGGCGTTTTGATGCGATGCGTGTGTCCCTTTGCCACTTTTACACCCTCGAGCCAAGCAGCAGACACCGAATTGGACGACTAAGGGGCTAATACGAGACCCTTCCAGTCCGTGGTTGGAAGCTGCTTTCTCCCACTTCTCCACCATGCGACGCACGCTCCCTTTTTTTATCCTCCGAGTGGAGTTGTCGCGATTATTTCTTAAATAGATATATATTGCAGCTAAGTGACTTCCGGCGATAACGAAAATCGAAAGGTGGAATGTCGATTAGGAATATCATGTATGGTAAGTTAAGATAACAGTGACTAGTGACTGGTTTTAAAGGTTAAGAATTGAAGATGGGTTATACGTATGAGAAAAAGCATATGCACTATATATATATATATACGTAGTGGTTTCCTGACGTGCTCTTGTTTAAGTTATTTTAAAATCATAAAATATTTTATTATTATTATTCGTTTTTGTACTATCGTGTTTACAAAATTTCAACTTTATTTTATCATTAAGTTTATATATATATGTATTATTAAATCATCAATTTTATATTTATTTGATAGTAATAATAAATTAAATTAATCAAATCTCATATTTTGATATTATTACAATTAGTGACCTATTTAAAGGACAAACAATTTTATTTTGCGTGAAACGCGTGCCAGTCTCGTGAGTTTCTGGACTGATTCGCTCACTAATTATTATTTCCGTCGTTAAGTAGGTTATTTTTTCGGAAAACGTCAGCAGACGTAAACAAAGAGTTGAACCATGGTGTTCTGCGCTCTGTCGGTAACGCAGCAACCGGAATTTATTTATTTTTCTCGCGATGACACGTGGTTCCTTTTCCCATCTTTCTTCATTTTTCTCTAAGTTCTCGGATTTCTCGTGCAACTTTCCAACATGACCATTCAAATTTTCGATTGCTTTTTAAAGAAAACTTTTCAATTGTTCTTTTAGCTTATATATATATATATTTTTTTTTTAATTTTTATTTTCTTTAATTTTTTATTGTTTTTCATAATCCAATAATTTGAACTTTCCTAATAAAAGACATAATAATAATAATACATTTAAATATAATTTCGAAATTTTATTTTTATCATCAAAGAAATTTTTATCATCTTACAACTTAATCCGTTCCATGTGCAATTAGGATGATCTTTAATCGATTTGAAAGAAAATAAAAATCGCAAAAAAAAAAAAAGTAAAAAAATTTTAGAGAAATTTATATAAAAAGATCGATAATCATTAAAAGTTAATCTCTCAAAGAAGAGCAGAAGTTACACGGCTATATAAATGGTGAAGTTCCACCAGTAGATGAAAAAAGAAGAAAACAGAAGAGGTAACAGAAGGAGGTAAAGGAAGAGGAAAGATGGAAAAAAGGAAGGAGAAAGAGTGAGATTAAGTCAGCAGTAGCGGAGAGGAAAAGAGAAATTCAGAGGGGCCATGTGGCGTTTCAGGAGATATCAAATCATACTACGTGTACGCCATGCCGCCCCCTAAATATAGTTTATTGCGTTACCGAGTATTAATGGAGTTCGTATAGAAAGGATAAAGACAGACGATCCATCGAGTATTGCGAGTCAGCCTCAGAAAATCGAAAATAAAGGCATTAATCTTGCATCTCAGTAATGGTTTCTGATTGGATGAGCAATTAAATAATTATGCGGGTATTTACGAAAGCTTGAATAAATATTAGTGAATAATTGATTTGTTGATTAATTTATACGTATTATACGTATTATGAAATGGACGATGCAAATAAAATATTTGTAATTTCGATTTCAAAATAATGATATACATATTTTATATATTTCATATCTATTAGCGTTAACATCATATATATAAAGAAAAAAAGACACGACTTTATTTTTTCATGAAATTACTCAGCAAATTTTTTTCAATTAATTCTTGCTAAACTCGAACGTCGTGTTTATTGATCCAAACTGATTTATATAGACTTTTGAATGCATCTGTTATACATTCTTTATTATATATACCAATCCCGATTAATCTATATATTTTAACTCGATATTCCAAGAAAAACACGTAAAAACTCATATTCATTAAATATAAGAATATAAAGAAAGAAAATAATATCTGAATCAAAGCAATTTCGAATCTTTGAAATTCAAGATTTCTAAATATTTTTCTGAATTTTCAAATTTTGAATTTTTTTAATTCTTCCTAATTTTTACTTTACTTTTAAAAAAAGAAATTAACGAATCTTTGAAATCTTTCAATTTTTATGCTTCGAAAATTAAAAACATGTCGAACATTCAATCTTCAAATTTCGTCAAATTATTTTCCAATCGAATTTCCAATATTCTCAGAATACGAAGAGAAATAAAAATCGAGACGACGAAGGATCAAAAATGGATACAAATTAGTTAGCATCATTAAGTTGGGATGACTTCTCTCTAAAGAGGTCTAAGATCGTGCCGGATTTCGGAACCGTTCCGGTGTCACAAATTGAAAACATAAACATTGAGATCGCGTGCACGTGTCCTCTGTATATCATAAACTGGTAGACGGTCGTGAAGACCGGTTGCTTCTTCCTCTTACTACGTCCGCTCGCCGAGTTCATTCATGAAAATCCGGTAGCCCTTTAAACCATGAATGAGCCCATACGAAAGGATATCCCTTGCTTTTCTTTTTTATGATCTTTTTTTTAAGAATATTCTAAATATCAGATATAACTTTCCTACAATAAAACTCATTCATATTATGCTCACATTGTATTGTATTACAAGAAAATTGATCGTATTAATTTAATTATAGTTATTGTCAAATATATATATATATATATATATATGGAAATTGTATGGAGTTTATACAAGATATATCGTTATATCATGGAAAGTACAACAAATTATCCATGCCACATTCAAAAAAACAAGAATAATAAATAAAAATATTGATTTAGTTACAAAATTGATATATTCTTAGACGTAATTGATTTTATATAATGATCGAATTATATCGAATATATAATAATAAATATTATATGTTGTTTAAAAATTATAATATGGAATGATTATTTTTTATCCTTGAGAATAATAGATTATCGCTTAAAAAGTGTAACAACGAAAGAAGAAAGACGAGTATCTTCGATCAAACGGTGAGAATAATGAGTGGTGATTGAAGAAAAGGGTTATTCTTTGCTGTTCGAAATAATAAACAAACCCTTTTTGTTCGTTTCAGACCGATATTCACAGTAACTCCTTGTCGAAGGGACGCGATCCTTGATCTGGGTTAATAAAAATTCAAACGGTATCGTATTTCAAGAAACACCGACGGAAGATTCTCCTTGTTCAGAATTGCCTCGAATCCTTTGACTTGCACGCGCAGCAGCAAAGGGCGCACGCTACCGAAAAAGATCTTCGTTCCCGGAAAATCGCCTTTAAATCATTTTTATCGTCGTAAACTTCACTTTGAACCGCTCATCTGTGAAATTTATGTGAAAAAACATTTATAATCTTCCTCCTGAAATCGATCGAGGGAAAGAAGAAAATACTAATGATACAGAAATATACGTATATTATACATGCTATTATTTTTTCTTTTTTTTTTTTTTTTTTTATCTATCAAAATTTTTATTCGATACATGATTCCAATGGCAGAGATGGAATAGGAAATTTAATTGTCCAAGTTTTTCGTTTTCTTTCGATCAAAATAATCGAGGCATCGCCCTCGAAGTGAGGTTAAGTCCACTTTTAATCCCGAAGATAACATCGGCCGCGGTTCTCAATCACAGATAAGAATGTTAATTTGCTCGACATTGAGTCGCGCGAGTAAAGGTCGGTAAAAAAGTGGAGCGATGACGCGTTGACGGTAACGCACGCTGACAGAGGGGGCTTTTTGCCATCCGAAGAAGAGTCAGCCCTGGGAAAAAGACAGATAAGGCTACTTAAAGTAGCGCCAAGCCATAGAACAGAATCGTGCGCTGACCGATACTATTTTCAGTCCTTTTTGCCACTAATTACGACGACTTTTATCAAAAACCACTCGAGCATCCCCCTCCCCCTCCACTCTGTTACGCCACTTAAAATTAAAAGTCTATCACCGAAAATTTTAAAATAGAATGTACTTGGATGAAATTCGTAGAAATATATTTATCGAAGACGGATATGTCCAATTTTCTCTGACTGTTTTAATTATAGATACAAGGTATGTTCGTAAGATTTCACTTGGATAATGGACGCCCATTTTTTTTTTTTTTTTTGATCTTTAACAAATAATTGCAAATTAAAATCCATTCGAGCAAATTGATTAAATACGTATATAACGAAATTGACAATATCTTGTTGTTTATATTTCGTGTATTTTTTTTTAATTATAATAATTTTCAATTGCGAATTTATTGAACTTACTTGCATTATATTTAGAAATGGATTACATATCGATAATTTTTATACGATAATAACTCTTTATAACGAAAATTTATCATTTGAAAAAAACTATTACCTCGATTCTGGTCATCGCCCAACGAGAAAAGAAAATCGAAGAAAAAACGAAGTAAAAAATTACTATCGCGTGGCTAATATATTTCATATCATGATACACAGTGGATACCCTCCATTCCTTAGCTAAATCATATTCCCCCGGTTTTGGCCAATTCCCCTGTTCAATTTCCTAATTGAATCGAACGAGGTACGCCGCATGGGCGTAGACCAGCCTGGACTCCGCCCTTCGATTCCACTCGTCGAGCTTCCACGAGCTTTAACGTTTCTCCTCTCCTGGAGCCTGCGTCTACACCCACCAGCGGCGTGCTCGAGTACCAAACAGAATCACCCAACCACTAGAGGTGATCTCCGAAATCGGTTTTCTTTTCTCAGTGGCATTTGGACCGCATCTCGAAACGCATCGATCACGAGGGAACATCGAGGCGCGGTATCACACGTTTCAACCCTCGTGTTTCTTCGTGCTCCATTCCCAAAACTGGAAATATTTTCACTAATTTCACTTTCATTTTCGCTTCGTGCTTGTGATTCTGTTTGTGAAGATAAACGTAATAAAAAATCGTCGAGATTTTGTCGTCGTTTAAGCTATCGAGTTTTGTGAATTTTTGGTGAAGAAAACTTTCTTCGGATGAAGGAATTGTGAAAGATTTGTGAGAAAATTCGGGATCGAATTGCTTGCATTGTGGTGAAATCATATGATTAATCGGATTAATATTAATATCGCTATTAATATTCGTGAATGTATATTGCATTATATTTAGAATGGTCTTGTTATAATCGGTTATATTGATTATTTTATGGATTATATTTTATGGAGTTACAATTAATCGAAGATATTTTTTTTATAATAAATTGACGTTCGTCACGACTTGTTAGAAATCATTACACGCCTATTTTTGAACAATCATCAAATTTATCATCGCTACCATGTTCATTGTCGCAGATATTATCATGATCTATCTTAACGCAGTTTGAAATTTATAATATCTATGATGACGAAGTAAAGGAGGGAAGACATTTGAAGAAATTAGCATCATATGTCTATTTTGTGGATAAAATTATTATTAATCAAATATTTTCCTCTATTGAAATTGGATATAATTTATCAAGAAATCTTCGTCGGAAATTATATCAGAACTAAGATCAATTGAAATTTTCTTCAATTTTCTCGACACGAGTCTATGATGCCCTAAGAAGGATCTGTTTATTAAACGGAAATTAAAACTTTTTAAAAAGATTGAATTTTGTTGTGAACATATTTGAATCAATTGATCAGTGGTGCAAGAAAAAAAAGTGAAAAAAGTAGAAGGAATTTAATATGATGTTGGGAAGTTACGAGGCGCAGCCGGATTACTATCCGCAATGGCATCAACCCTATAATTATGTTACACAATTACCGTATGGTAAGTTTCATATATCTATAAATATTCTATAAATATCAAATATAAAAAAATGCATATAAAAATTTTTTTCATGTTCCATATTATAAATTTTAATGATATAAAATTCTTTATAACATTTTTCATGTATAATTCGGAGTTGTCAAGTTTAAATAATAAAATATGAATTGATATTATTAATATTCTAACTTATATTATAATAAAAAAATTAGATTTATTTTTTTATCGAACTGAGAGAGATATTTTATCCTAGAAGAATATTTTGTAACGTGTAATCTTTTTGAGCTAATTTTTAAAATGATTTTAATAATCCAATAAAATAACGCATAAAATGATTCAAAAAAAGAATTTTAATTATTTAATAAAATTTTTCATTTTTCTATTACCAATTTATCGGACATATAATTATTTATATCGAAAACGATTTCTTTTTCTTTCTTAGAAAAGAAGAAAGAAATAAAGAAAACAACAAGAAAATTCAACAATATGAAAAAAATGTTATTCGCCATTCTATACAATTCTCCATTCTTCTATCGCAGGTCCGTTGAACATGCCAGATGCGGATAGCCAATCGACGTACTGGGGCGCGGATTCCGGGATTTCTGGGGGTAGTTCTGGCGCAGGAAGTCCCACCGCCTCAACACCTCCCTTGATCGAAGAGATTGGTGTCCAGGAACCCAGTTACTCCCCTCTACAACAATACCCACAAACTTCGATGAACCAACACTATTCCAATCTAACTTATCCACCCCAACAAGACGTCCCTCATCATCATTTTCATCATCATCACCATAATCATCATCAACAAAATCATAGAAGAGATAGCGATTATTCCACGGTTTCTTCGATAAATCAAGTCGATGGTTCGCTTCAACAACATCTTAGACAAGGAGTCAGAGATGGTGGCGTAGTTGTCAGGCCTAAAAGAAGAAATACAGCGAATAAAAAAGAAAGAAGACGAACGCAGAGCATAAATAACGCGTTTGCCGATCTTCGTGATTGTATTCCGAATGTACCGGCAGATACGAAGTTATCGAAAATTAAGACGTTGAGACTAGCAGCTTCGTATATTGGATACTTGATGGCGGTATTGGAGAGTGACGAGGGAGAGGAACCGCAAACTTTTCGCGCCGAGATTTTGTCCAATGGCAGGAGAAACAAGACGGTTCAGGCAAATCAGGTTAGTTTTATTATATCTGTCTTTTCTTCTTTTATTATTGCTACAGTGTTGATTGTCAATTCATTTATAAATCTTTGTCTTTTAAAAATTTCGAATATAGTGTTTACGTGTGACTGTTTTTACCATTATTTCTATAATACATCCAAAATATTACTAAATAATTAATTGGTTATTAAAAGAATAAGAAAGATTATAGTAATCTTTATAATTGACAAGATAAGAATCTTTAAATCATCGATCTGATTGAAACTTGAAACATTAATAAATTTCGTCATCCTGTTTATAAGAATATTCCATTAGACAAGATGAAATCTGCACGGCTGATATATGAAGCAATTCCTAATACAAATATTATCGTATATAGGAATATATCAAATTGCATGATAATGAAGACATGGATAGACAGATCAAGACAGGTCGAGACAAGTCGAGACAAGTTGAGACAGGTTTTGAAATTGTGTATCATCTACGTAATAAAATTATATCGAGACTTGAAATTTTTAGCAAAATTTTCTATTATGAAATATTAATGAAAAAAACAATTATATTTTATATATATATGTATATTTCAAAACAATAACTATTGATAATCAATTTCTTTAAAAAATCTAATAATTAATAAAACGATTATATTTAATCTCGAAATTTAAAAAACGCAATATTATGGCACATCTACATATATCAAACGAAAATCACTAGAGTGCACTTCAGTAACGAATTTGTGCCTTCTTTTGTTTACTTTTGTTTGAATCTTCCGGAACACTTTCATACGCATTGCCTTTAAATAAACACTGTCCTCTTTAATTGGATCTTGTTCGTCGACGCTTAAGAACTCAACGTTGAGAACTGATCATCATATCCCGTAGGTCTAGAAGAAAAAGAGACGAAGAAGAAAAATCTCATCGTGTTCACGTGCCGTCGGAACGAGTGTTCTTGATTAATCATATAACCTATTTGTCTTCCGTGTTGTGACAGAGTAAGTTTATCGACACATGATGAGACATTAATTCTCATGCGACGAGTGTAATTGAAATATCTGTCATAATATTAATAAATTTTTAAAATTGTGCGAGATTTAATAATCTTCTTTCAAAAATAAATTTAATTATTAATCAAAAATGTCAAATAAAATTGGGAAAGAAAGATCATAGAAAAAAGATATAAATCATATTTTTCATTTTTAAAAAAATTTTTCAATTTAAAATAAATTCAATAATATAAAGATTATCTTTAAACATTTTTTTGAATAACACTGTGTGATCGATTAAAAAGAAATTTGATGACGACGATTAAAAAGAAAAAAAAAATAAATTGGAAATATGAAATCTCAATTTTAACAATTTATTCATTCCATCAATGAACCTCAAATTTTCAGCTATTATAATTTGGATGATTTCATTGTTTCTGTAATTTCAATTTTGGACCACCCTAGTGGTTTTGTGGTTTCCCCTATTTTTTGTGATTTCCCGCCACCCAAGGAGAATTTCTTTATCCTGAAAGGTCATTGACATTTTATTAAGTCATTTCTACAATTTTTCTAATAAACGTGAAACTTGAGTCATGAAATTCATGCATACAATTGTATAAAATATTAATACATATAAATAAATAATTAATCAAATTTATGCTTAATCATAAAAATTATAATTATAAAATAAAAAAGAAATTAATAGAATATTAAAATGCGATTATAAACGTAAATCATTTTTATTTTTTCTTTTTTTTTTATGAATATAACAACGCTGACTGTTATGTTCATTCTCTGAATCTGTAAATAAATAAATAAAATAAAATATAAGAAATTATTTAATAAAACAATATTTCATTTTGTTTATATTATTTATATTAAATTTTATTTTTTTTTTTAATTAAATTTCGAAATTTTTCATTGCAGAATGAATCGTATTTACACCAAACAGGTGTAGGAACTGAGGAATCGTCGAAAAGCAAAGGACGAACTGGTTGGCCGCAGCATATGTGGGCCCTCGAATTGAAGCAGGAATCGCCTACAAACCAGATGCAATAAAATTACTGATCTCTATCTATTTTTGACGCAGTGGCTTCTGTTCTACTGTGATTATCAAGAAACGAATCAAATGTAAGGTTAGATCAAAGTTGGTAGCGAGCCAGGAAATTTCAGAACAATTTTCGATTATTCTTGATTTTTCCTAGCCATTTATTAGATATTTAAAAAAATTTTTTCATTTTTCAATCGACGAAATATTATATAATAAGCTAAAATTAATTTATTTACATAACTATAAAATAAGATTAATTAGTGCAAAAATTGAAACAAATACAATATTAACCCTGTAATACTATATCTAAATACATAATCCTGATAACATTATATTTGGAAATTCTTATAATAAGTATTCTCATCGCGAAAATAAATAGAATTTAAGTGATCAAAAAAAAAAAATTTATTAATTTTATTAAAAAAATCAATTTCAATAAATTCAGATTTATTATCGAATAATTTTTATCTTTTGCATGATAAATAATTACCAGGATATTCAGATTTATACTGATATATATTGTATTTCAGGGTTAATAAAATAGTCTAATATTGTGTTAATTCAAATATTTTTGACACAAGTATGAGAGAGTAAAAAAGATCAATTTTTTATGTCTTTACATTCGTTTTTTCCCTCTTTTTTTAAATTTATTTTATTTGAAAATCTTTCACATTTTTCAATTATTTTTATTTATTACATTAAACAATTATAAATTCATACATTTATAAACAATTATAAAACGTTATAAATCGAGTAGAATCTTTTAAATCACAATCAGAAGTAGTAGATCATTGTTTTTATTTAAACAAGAAAACGTCGATAAGTCTGTTGTAAAATACAAGGGATCATTTGTAAATACGCGTCTGTGAGTTAGATTATGCGTGTAAATAGAAGTATTTGATTTCTTATTTCATAATAATTTACTTTCCTTTATTAATTGTCTACATCTTATTCTTCATTGAATTTCTTATAATTTAAAGATTACACATTTGATAGTTCCTTCTTTATTTTTTGAAAAATTTTATTACTTTTATTATTATAAATTCATATAATTCAATTTATTTTCAATTTTATAATTCATTATATAATTTTCAAATCAATTGTGAACTTGATCATGAAAGATTTAAAAAAAAAAAAATTCAATTTAATTCATGACATTATCTTGTAGCAAAACAAAGTTAATGAAATATATCAAGAATTTTATTAATAAATCAGTGAAAAATGTAATAAAATGTAAAATACGCTCAGTTGAAAGTTATATTATGTCTAAATATATTCTACTCTATAGATCTAAGCAAAATGAAATGGTTTAAGATGCTTGTAAACTTTTGTATAAACTACTTATCTTAGCGATGTATAAAAAGTCACTAGTAATAAATAGAATACACGATAATTCAATTATTTTCTATTCCTTTCAATAAATTGTTAAAAATCATTGAAATAAATTTTTATTTCATCGAAATCTTTAACTTATCAAAAAATGTTTTTCTTAGTTAGGATGTGAAAAAACATTATTTTAATAATAATAAGTTTTGGATTTTTTTCAATTTAATTGCGCCATTACTTGGTTGTTACTTTTCATAATTATTATACATATATGTTCTATATGATGAAATATATCGTGTATTCATTTTAAGACATCAAGAATGAACAAGCTTTAATTATACTTGATAATATGTATTTATTTAGTTTCATTATTTCGTTTGTAATCATTATGCTGGATATGAAATAAACGAACAGTTGTGTGATGACTAATGAAAACTAAATATTTGTGATATTTTTCAAAAGCATTTTTATCCGACAACGATTCGATGTTTAGACGACATGATAACTCTATAACGATGACATTGTCGATCTTGTATATAATAAATTATATCTTGTCATTTCTTATTATAAAAGAAGCAACATTGTCGAGAAATGAAAAAATTGTTGATATTTAAATGAAAATATAGAATTGGTAAATACTTGTTATGCTCTATCTACAAGTTTTATTTCAGGCTCAACAAAACAAAAAGATAATTAGATATAAATATCAAGTATAAATATCATATCAATATCATCTTATAAACGGACGAGTAACTCAATCTATATAATAAAAATAATATTATATAATATTGATAGGATTATAATAATGTGGATTATCATTTTATTTATCTACATGCGCATAATTACATCCCATCACGTATTAATGGAATGCTACAAATAAAAAATAATTGTCATACTAATTATTCCAATGGAAATTGAAAGAATACATTATTTAACTTATAGAAAAAAAAAAATAAAATTATATAATTGTAAGATTACACATTTTTTAAAAGATAAAGTAAAACTTAAAAAAAAAAGTAGAAGAGCACGTGCTATACTAGTAGGTGTTAAAAACAAGAAGGTGAATCGGTACCGCTTTGTAAACTCTTCGGTTGACGAAGTACAGAACACCTCCGCAGCTCGAATCGACGATATAAACACTTCGCAGTATGTACCTAAGGAACTCGGTTATTCTCGGTAGCGGTAAAGAGATCGTTGCTTTCTTGTCAAAACGTTACCATGAAGATCTTGCTGTACCACTGGAATCATGTACGAAAGATACCATATATACATGTAAACAAATGAGTATAAATTATACATATTTTTTTTTTTTTTTGATACATGAAACACTATATAAATAAGGTGAAGATATATAAAAATAGAGAAAAAAAAAATATCTCTAGTTTATGTTTCAATAAGAAATATGAAAAAAGATTGAAATTAATCAGGATCATTTTATTATTTGAAAACTATCGGTTCTATCGCATAATTGATATATTTCACATTCAATGTATCTAATTTCGAATAGTAGGGGACAAAATCTTGATATTAAACTTCATATTATTTCATCAATTTGTGCCAGACGCTCACACTAGATCTCTCACAAAGATTTTATCTATACACTAGGACAATACAATAGATACAAAATCTAACCTCTCAATTACGATCAGATATTCTTTTTCATTTATTTCTCTTCCTATGTTTTATACAATGAATATGAAACAAAAATAACTAAAAAGAAAAGAAAAAATCTTTCTTACGTGGGAATATTTTCGAATACTACCACAAAGAAACAATCATGTATGTATACATGTTTGTACAAGTATATATGTACGTAAATGCGATACGCGTACCAAATGTGTATGCGAGACCGAGGAAAAAAGTATGAAGAGAACGTTTGTTTGCTTTGACAAGTATCGAAAGTCCATGTAACCGCGAGAATGTCCAAGTATGGTTGGCCACTTACGTTGCTTGTGAAAAATTGCCCTTAGCATGTGTCGCACAACTCTCTCCATCTAATTGCTTCTGTCGAGCGATACTCTTCTTTATTATCAAATAAGAAAATGAGAGCAAAGTTGACGTTCAGAAACATGATATATATATATATATAAATATTTAATGAATTAATTTTTTTTCAAATAATATCTTTTTTTTTTTTTTATATCTCAAATAATAGAAGTAATTTTGAATTTTTATAATGTTTTATATATCTCATTTTGAAATATCTATTATAACTTCAATATCAACGAAATAAAAAATGATTGAAAATGGTATCGGAATTTGAGATGTTAATAAATTTATTAGGTATTTTGGAATTTATCAAAGAGACATTAAGTATTGAGATATGGTAAAGGAGAAGAAAATGAGGTACAAATGCTTACTACAAATCTTGTTTCGAATTGTTTACTCTTCGAAACTAGTATGCGTTTTACGTAAACAATACTGTTCTCCTCTAAGATGGATTATATCTTCTGTTCGAGTGTTCAAATTTAGTATCTTGCAAATATTCAACGAGAATGCTTATTGTGATACATGCTAATATAAAAACGAAATAAGATGGATAAAAATTTAATAAAACAGAATGAAATTACAAATCAATATATTATTTTTATATTCTATTTTTTAATATATTTCTTTTATCCATGGATTTTTTATTCTTTAAAAAAATATAATATTTCATTTGCATTTTATAATATAAAATATAATATAAAAATATCAAAATTTTATTAAAATATTGAATATATTTTTATCATTATATCAAATGCTAAAATATAAGTTATTGAAATATTAATAAATTAACATGTATACACTAATAAAAATTCCCAATCTTAATTCAGTATTTACATAAAAACTAATTTTCTATTCTCATTCATAAACTATGCTTTTACTGTAGATCAAATCACGTGTTCTCCGAGACGATCGACCAATAAATGTGTTGATATGCAGAGTCACAATCGAGCTTTTATACAAGCACTAGTTGACCTTCTTCCCTGCTTCATGGTCTTGTTCCCGAAATTGAATTGGTTAATTGACAGGTTTAATTGAGAACAGATTGTTCGCCTAATCGCCTTGGGCGCCAGCATCGATTCATTACAAAAGAAGACGCCAGGAGGCTTTCCTGACGTTTTCCTATTTGTCGACGACACTTTGTCTTCTTTCTTCCTTTTTTTTATTGTTTTCGATGGACATCGATGGACTTTGCCAGTCATTTGATATGTATTCATCTTTGTTTAAACTCTGTGAAATTAGCAATTGACTCTATTACAATGCTTTTAAACATCATTTGAACAATTGAATATTGCATTTTATAAATTATTAATTAATATTAATCTGAATTATCATTTGAATGGTATGGATAAAGAATATACTTTTATTTGAATATTATATATATACATATCTATTTGAGCAACTTTTTTAAAATCTATTTCCAATTTAAAATTCTAATTTTATATTATATAATTTTATAAAAATTTACACAATATTTACTATATTAATAAATTAAAAGTGAAAAATATTAATTACTTTTTTATTTAATCAGTAAAAACTTAAAAACTTAAATACGTATTTCTATTTCATAAAATGTTCCTTTTTTACTTCCATAGTCAATATATCAATTAAAACTGGTATTTTCCCTGCATTATAGGATAAAAAACGAAAGAAAAAATAAAAGCAAAATAGTGAACGCACAGCAAAGAAATTGAGTTGTGAAACTCTTCTCACAAATCCCATTGGAATCAATAAATCTCTTCGTACGAACGTTTCCGGTTTGCGGTGACGTCGAAGAAGAATCGAAAGAAGAAAAGAAGGAACAACAATGAAGGAAGAAACTGAAAGCGATACGGTAGTAGTTGTAAGATTTTCTCCCAAGACGCAACCAGGATTCTCATTACGTATGGAAGAGCGTGGATCTCGATTGAAATTGAGACAAATCGCTTCGTGGGCCGTCAAGATTGGCCCCCTTTGGGGCTGGATGTTTTCTTAGTAGGATACGGATTCATTTCAAATGAAATCGGCATTGTCGAGGCAACGGGAAGAAAAATAACAGTTTAGCCCAGGGAAAGACAATGGGGATGAAAAAGGAAAAGAAAAGAA